TTGAACACACTGGATTATATAGATATGATTGAATTATTATTTAAAATATTATTGTAAAATATCAAAATGACAGGGTGGACCAGCACATGATGGGGTGGACACGTAAAGCAGAACACACAAAGCATGACAAAATATGACAAACATTTATTCAATTTCGAACCCCCCCCCCCCCAACCCCCCACCACCGTCATGTGTATGTCCACTCTATCGAGTCTAAGTGGCCACAGGGTGGACATTTTGAGCTTCAATTAGCATATTAGCTTACAACAAACTGTGACTGGCTAAATAGTTAGTCTGGTTGTTGAAGAGAATTTGGTATATTTAAACGTACATATTTTGAGAATACTGTATTCTAATCACTTCTGGCATATTTTATGGCGACAGGGTGGACATGTTAAGCTTTGGCAAAGCAAGTAAGCAAACTCATACAAAGAAAATTTGTCAATTGAAAAGTCACCAACTTAGTCACCTCAGCCGTTGAAATTCCCGCCACTGAAGAGACAAAAAAATCTCTTGTTCTGATGTCACTAAAGGGGATGACCTTTTCTTAAAGGGGCGGATTCCCCAATATGACAGGGTGGACAACCATTCAAGGACAAACTCTTCTTTTTTTATTAAATAAAAATATCGTTTTTATTACCAAATGATCAATACACTCAAATTGAGTCATCTCTTATTTAACAAAATATTAATAGGAGAACAACATTTTTTTATTTTATGATTTGACTATATTCTACTCTCATTCAAATTTAATGAGCAGTGCATGGGACATAGCAAAATAACACACATTCTCTTACACAAAACTAAAAAAAAAAAATGTATCTAAAGAGCCAAGTAATGTTTTTGTTATGAATATAAAAACCTAGCCTAATATAACACACCCTTTCATAGTCATTTTTATGTTATCATAGCAAATGAGTTATTTAGGTACAGGACCCCAAAAGGCACCATACAGTGATATTGAACCAAAAAGCCATTTTCTGACCTTTCAGTGATGCTGATGTCTGGAGTCCAAACCATGTCCTTTTTAACTGAACATAAAGTGATTCCACAGAAGTCATCTGGGTTCCATACTGTGTACTCATTGACCCAACCCTGCAAAGTTATGAGGATTATGTTAACAGTGATTATAGTAGTCAACCGATTTGGTTGATCTTCCTTAGAATCATAAACTTTTTCACAAATAATATATACAAACTTATTCTTTTTACACTTTGTTTTTATTTTCAATAGGGTTCAATTTGACTTGTATAGTGACTTATATTATATAGTATATTAATATAGACATTTCAGTGTGTTCCTTAATAAGTCAAGAAATTATTTTATTTCCAGATAAAACTTCTGATTGTACAAGTTTTCGAACTTGAGTAAAGTCGTGTGCGAAAAGGTTTTGAAAACACTTACAAGCAAAATTGTGACTTGTGTTGAGAGGCTCTGGGCTTTTTCATTCTGTGGAAAGAAATATGATATAAGTGTTGAGTGATGATACTACAGTAGCCTACAACTGCTTGCCATCCTATGTCATGGCATTCGGTTAAATCATGCTGGATTTACCACTTCTGTGATGGAGGTCACAAAGAGGTCTAGAAAAAGAAAAGTAGGGGTTTTCCATTTAAACACGGGCCGCAGGGACGTCATCTGAATGTCATCATTGCCCAAGCCGAGATGTTCGAGAAGTGCCTTGTAACTGCAGTTTCCAGCAGCAGACGCCGACCCTGCACAGAACACACTCCGTTTGAATCTCACAGTTACAGTCAAGAGAATATCACGTTTCAACATTCATTCTTCTGTAAATGTACTTCTCAACTACTGCGTCCATTCTGATAAGAACAATACCAAAAGCTAACTCCAAAATGCAACTATCCATATAACTGTTTGTAGTTACCCTTATGAAAAAGTAGTAAACTTTAGCATACTTCTATAAAAAGTAATTAACTGCGAGATGAATGTAAATGTCTTTGCACACTTAGAAATGCATGTTAATTCAAATTAAATTAAATTTATATTAAATGTAGTTAGCTGAATTGTAGTGTTTTCGACCCACTTAAGTACATCTTTATTACATTAAAATTAGAATTACATCTATTGTCAGTAACACTTTATTTTAAGGTGTCCTTGTTACATGTACTAACTATTATAATAACAATAAATTATGCATAATTACATGCAAGTAACCCTAAGTCAAATCCTAACCATAACCATATAGTAAATACATTTAGTTAATTAATATAACTCAATGTATATTTACACTGTAACAAGGACACCTTAAAATAAAGTGTAACCTCCATTGTCTTTGAGTTAAAGTGAACTGCTGAATGTACTGACAAGCATTTATTATAAACTAAAATAAGTTTATTAATTCATAATTATTAATGTACATATCTATTGAAACTTGTATGTCATATATTTAAACATATAATTACACATTTATAATGATGAATTTGCAATTTAGCACATTTAAAATATATGAACTTTAAATGTTTTATTTAATAACACAACAGTTAAATGATAATCAAGTATTTTTACATGGGCTTTAGTATGTTAGTCAACACATCAAAATAACTACAGTAAAGCATGACAAAAGATTATTAAAACATAACTTTTAATTTGACATAAGTTTAGAAAGTTTACGTTTTAAAAGTGTAATTAAGTATGTGAAAAGTGCACTTAAGTGCCCTTTTATTTCATTGCATTATCTGAAAGCAGATTTTTATTGTATTTTTTAAATATACTCTTAAGAGTGGAAGTACACAAGTGCAAATGCACATTAAATACAATTAAGCACTTCTTTCACAAGCATAGATAGTAAAAAAATATACATATCAGATTTTAAATACAGTATTTTGGTGCAAATTCATCTGTCACTATGTAGAAGATAGAAGTCAAATTTTTCAGTGTGGAAAACTTGCGTGACGCTTCAAAACTAGGAGCAAAACTACACAAGGTAAGGGAAAATAGAAGGACATTTAAAACAGACTTACCGACTGAGGCAAGATAAAATATTAGCCACCCTAGATGCATAGCAAACAGTCAAGAGATTGGGTACTGAAGAGATGACTGTCATTTGGTCACATTTATATATACTGTGAATGAGATCCTTGTCCAACCTCCTCTTTTGTTCTTAGTTTTACCACGAGTGAAAAAACTATACAAATAGCTGATGTCATTCCTATATGTCATTAACATACACACTTTATCTGCTGTGCTGTTTGCCATTTTGTTTATGTCTTTCTCATGGCTGATAGAAAAGTTAGTGTTAGTGGTTAGTGAAATGACTATTTAAAGCAGCACTATGTAACTTTTTCTGTGTTCAAAATTTACAAAATGTATATAATGAGCGAGTACATCATGAATTCATCTTCCAAACCGCGTTTTTGTCTTATTCCGAATCACTACGGTACACTTATAATCAGTGTTGGGGAAAGTTACTTTTAAAAGTAATGCATTACAATATTGCACTACTCCCTAAAAAAAAGTTACTAATTATGTTACTTAGTTACTTTTTATGGAAAGTAATGCGTTATATTACTTTTGCGTTACTTTCGCGTTACTTTTTAAATATAAGCAGGGCTTGATTGTTTTTAATATAAGAAGTTCTATTTATAGCAAATATAAAAGCCCTTTCACACCAAAAAGTGTAATGAATAAACCTCAGGCTGAAGCAAAAGTAAATTCACGTCTG